GATAATTTTGAGCAATGATTAAATATACTCTACTTGCTATTTTATATAATTTCATACAAAAGATACCCCATTTAGCTAGTTTGGCCTGTTCAACAAGAGAAATACTTCCTTTTATTTAGCATATCTTAGTGATCAGCTACAAAAACTGGTTTGTTCAAACACCACTTTTTAAGTGCAACATTTAAAGTGTACAGTTTACAACTAATACAAAAAAAATATACTTAAAGCCCCAAACTTGAATGTTCATTGTATCCAGTAGCTTTGACCACAAACAACCACAGGATTTCAAGATCAGTGCGTCTGTGCTTTCAATCAACATCATCAGCAGGCAGTAATCCTAGGGAAAAAAAGTAAATTCCCCAAATAAACAGACCAATTTTCCTTTAAGAGGAAAGCTAATTCTTTTCAATCTACTTTTTTTATTACACTATTTTCCCTCTATCTACTTAGCTAGTATAAGGATAAATTTCCAAAGCTACCCAGTTGGAAAATAAATAGGTTCACTGTTTGTCTAGCATTCCAATCTTTGCAAATGTAAATCAGTCCAACTGCTCCTCATTTAAACCTTCAACTTCACAAAACATTAAAGGGTGGCTTTCATGACACAATTTAATCTATCCACTAAGATTTCTGCTTGAACATCATTTGAAATTGACTATCTGATAAAGAGAGACCACTATCAAAGGTCAGTGAGGTCAACTTGTATAATTACAAGTAGTTTTAGTGGGTCAACTCTACCAGACACCACTGTTTGAAGGTTAAATTGTTACAATTAAATATATATACAGATCTCCCCCGAGTTACTTTATTGTTAAATGTACCAGAAACAGCAAAAGCATTTATTTCTGACCTTAATTGTGTCCAAAGTGTCACCATTGGGAAATTATACAAACAGAGCACTTATTAAAAGCATTACAATCTTGCACATTAAACAATGCTTTATAAAATAAAATACATAATTAGTTATCAGAAACTGGTTTTATTTATTACATCAATATTAAGAAGTTCATACGGGTTATTCCCTTTGGTTAAATTAGAAGTGCTCTAAGAAATGACATCTACTATTTCATGGTTGGTAAACTTGCCACAAAGAAGAGTTTGATGCTAAAGCAACTTTCACTTCAGAATGATCACTTCCAAATTACTGGGATTTAATCATATTTTAATAACAGAGTAGAAGGAAGCTTTAAAATGGGCTATTTTTTTAATTGTTTGATTCATTTTAATGCCTTGTACTTTTTTATTAAGTGCCTAAATAGCCAAGGATGAAATCTTCGATAATTACTGCAGTGAAATATTATCATTCTTATATTTTAATGATGGTAAATATAGATCAGTTCTTTTTGTCCTTTCAAGGTGGTAAAAATAAAAATAATTATAGCAAAGAAAAGAAAGTTACCTTTGGTGCCCAAAGTATTTACCTCAATGTTCCTATAATTTTATGTATAAAAAAAGTAGGATTTCAAATGTTGTGTGAAATGTTTCATAAATGAAGTAAACGGTTTAATTTTAATAATGAAGACAACTTTCTGAGTCAAGTTTTCAGATTCAGGGAATTACCATGTGAAACTATTATTAGGAAAATCAATCTTCATATCTATAGATTTGAGTGAAACAGTCTTAACACATTTTATTGTTTAAAATATTTTCAGATTTTGTGTTGGAGACAAATTTTTCCTAAAGAATAACATGATCCTTTGCCAGACGGACTACGAGGAAGGTTTAATGAAAGAAGGTTATGCACCCCAGGTTCGCTGATCTATCAACATCACCCCATTAAGAATACAAAGCACTACATTCTTTTATCTTTTTTGCTCCACATGTGTATAAGAATCGACACAGGAACCTACTGAATAGCGTAGATATAGGGAAGCAGGATGGTTATAAGGAATAAAAGGCGGACTGCATCTGTATGTAGTGAAATTGCCCCCGTTCAGAGTTGAATGTTTATTATTAAAGAAAAAAGTAATGTACATATTGCTGGATTTTTTTGCTTGCTATTCGTTTTTGTGTCACTTGGCATGAGATGTTTATTTTGGACTATTGTACATAATGTATTGTAATATTTGAAGCACAAATGTAATACAGTTTTATTGTGTTACCATTTGTGTTCTGTTTGCTTCTTTGTATTGTTGCATTTAGTACAATCAGTGTTTAAACTTACTGTATATTTATGCTTTCTGTATCTACCAGCTATTTTAAATGAGCTGTAACTTTCTAGTAAAGAACTGAAGAGCAAATCTCACTAATGATACACAGATAGATAAAACAAGTCTATCAACATTAGAAATACTAAACAATAAAGACACACACAAAGCATTTTAGTGACATCCACTACTTATTGCCACTATGATTTAGAGTCTATCAGTGTTCTTGTTATAACCCTCTATTTTCAGGGGGTTAAAAATCAGCTT